ATTTTTGTTAAATTATCATTCTGTTGGGTCACCCCTTCTTTCTCGTGGTTGCCGTAAGAGGCGACTAAGGGAGGGCGAGAGATGGGCAGCAGTGTCCCTTTTAAAACATCTCTAAAAGCCAGAATGCGGTTGCCAACCCGCCTCCTAGGCGTGGCAACTATTCACAAAACTCCCCTTATGGGAAATTAACAAATAAATTTATATAAATAGTGTAATCATCATCATATCAGCCTTTACTGTTTTCTACTGAACATTAGCCTCTCTTGGAGGGTTTTTCCAGTAGTTGTCACGCTTGGGAAGCGGATTGGCAACCGCAGTTACGCTTTTAGAGATGTTTTAAGAGGGACGTTGCTGCCTATCCCTCCCCGTTTTCTCTTAGTCGCCTCTAACTACACCCTTGGGTAAGGAAGCGGCGGCCTATTCTATGCCGGGATGAGACGACTTTAATAGTTAAACCAATCAGACATACTATCTTTATAAAAAAGATATACAGCGATTCGTTAACAACTTGTTAGCAAGGGTGGACTTGTCTAAAGAGATCTTTTCTAACTATCCTAACACGGGGGGAAAGGGATTGTTAGCAGTGGAGACTGAGAATTCCATTGCTAGCAATATATCCAACCAGGTCGATCTCTTCGCGGTTGTCCCTGGAAACTATCGTGGTTAATTCCTGATGAATTCATCATGATGGGCTAACTGGCCTGTTTTCATTCTCATCTATCACCCTTTACTGGTGCTCCGCCAGCGTATCCCGTTAGCGCAGGCGGGGTTACAATACCATTTTCACCCATCAAAAAAAAAAACCATCCTAACACGGTGAAGGACTTTATAACTTCAGTTTTGTTTCAGCATAGTTTGGATTATAAGAGGTGCAACGGTACAAAAGTTGTCTGGAAGAAATTGCTTTAGTGATAAGATCACATTTTATACTTCATAAGTGTAATATATATTTATGTTTCTTTTTCTTTAATGCACAATAAAATTTTGTACAAGTGGCGAGCTTAATGTATGGCATTCTCTATCAGCTAACCATATTTTTTGTTCGATTTTATTTTTTTGTATGTATTTTAGGGAATATCTTCATTAATGTGCGAGCGATGCCAGCGACTTTTAAAATACAAAAAAAAAAAAAATATTTTGCATATTAATTCAAAATAATAATAAAATTGTCACACTTGAAGTTTTTGTACTTATAAAATAATTTTGAATTATTTAAAGAGGTCTCCAGTCCCCAGGACTAATATAATGGTGGGCATCCGACATAAAGTAATTAATCATGGCTTATCTTTCTTTGTACTGCGTGACCGTTGAGAGAATTATAAGCAGTGCTTTAAATAAAACAGATGTAAAACAATGGTGAGTGTAGATGATATACAATGACACTGAGAATAAATGTGCTTCATGATCCTGAAGAGATTTTGACCACATACCATTCACGTTTAATTCAATTTGTCTTTATTCAAATAGACTTGTTTACAAGCACTTAACACACGCACGCACGCATGCACGCACGCACGCACGCACGCACGCACGCACGCACGCACGCATGCACGCACGCAGGCACACACACACACAATTCCTATAGTAATAGTAAGATTTATATTTAACCAACCGTAACACGATATCTTAGCATGAAGATTAGGCAGTTGGTTTGAATATATAACACCTTTTAATAATTATCATAATGTATGTTTTGCCACTATCAAAATTGCTATTTTCCTCGAAAAACAAAACATACTCAATTAGAAGTGACTGACAATAAAAAATAAAATATATCTCTTGGAATTTAATAGGCTGAGGAAGTCATGTGACAAAAAGTCGAAAAAGTAAACGATAAATAATACAAGAACGCTATTCATCGGAGATGAAGCGAAATAAAACCCTCGCAAAATTTACGGCCGCACTGAAGTGTCAAGGAGACTTTTCATTGAGATCCGAATTTAGCACCTAAGTTCACAGGGTTGCTACCGAAGTAAGTGTACACAATGTTTTCTTGTATACATTAATCTATACTTATAATAAATCTGTCGAGAGGTCAATTCTGTACATGAAATACATTTCCAAAATAATTATCAGGGGGTGATTAGTGATCGATACTAATGCCAAAAATGCAATCAATAAAATTTTTGTTTGTCTGTCTGTATGTTCGTTACAGAAACAAAAACTACTCGACAGATTTTAACGAAACTTGGTACAATTATTCTTCATACTCCTGGACAGGTTATAGTATACTTTTCATCACGCTACGATCAATAGGAGCAGAGAAGTGAAGGGAAATGTTAAAAATGTCCACCCGTGCGACGCTGGGACGGGCCGCTAGTATGAAATATACACCAGAGGGAGACTTTGTACAAAAGTCGTTTGCCCATTCGTGTTTCAACCGTGAAGCAGTTGTGTTTGCACAACTGTGTTTTAGTTTGAAGGATGGGATATAGCAGTGAATTTACAGGGTGCATAGGAATAACACCTGAGTCCTCGAGTTGAGGATGGCAACGCATGCGGGGTATTATGGGCGAAACAGTATACTCTGTTATGTCCATGGTACTGCACATGTCTATAGACGACGGTTAACATTTTCCATCAGGAGGGCCGTCAGCTTGCTTTGCCATTCTATGTTGTATAAAAAATAAAAATAAAAAAAATACTGTAATTACGTTTGAATATCGCAAGCCAACTGCATGTTAAAACAAAAAGTACCAGTTTACTAATAGCATACCTTGAATATTTATGTAAATATTTATTTTAACTTCTGTTTAGCACTATTACTGCCCACCCACTACTTCCTATGCCACTGTGTTAGGTTGACTGGAAGAAATCTCTTTTAGAGATAAGTTCACCTTTGCTAACATTGTTATTAAATTATTGTTGTTATATGTATGTTTCTGTATGATATATATATATATATATATATATATATATATATATATATATATATATATATATATATATAACATTTCATACAGAAACGCCACAATCCGTGCCTGTCACAACTACAGAAGTAATAATATGTACATACATATAACAATGAGTGCATGTGTAGTTACAATTAGCGCTGGGAAATATAGTTTCGAGTGCTGAAGCGTGTTTGAGAGGGGGTGAGGTCAGATCGCAGCGGGTGCCAGGGAGTGTCCATACTTTTTTTTATTATTAAATCAGCTGTTACCTGTTCATGACTGGGTATACGCCTTCCCCATAAGAGGGGGGGGGGGGGGGGTTAATAGTTACTACGCTTTACAGGCGGGTTGGCAATCGTAGTTAGGCTTTGGTGATATTTTAAGTAGCATGCTGCTGCCATCCTTCGACCATAAAATTCTTTTAATCACCTGTTAAAACATCCACGAGACAAAAATTTCTAAAAATATTGTTTTGGTTTCTTAAGATTCTTTAAAGGGTGACTATGAAATAGTAACCCCCTGCGTTACCAGTATGTACTGTCGAGGCACCAGTGATAGATGATAGGTGAGAATGAAAGCAGATCAGTTGGCCCATCGTAACAAATTCGACAATTATGAATCACGATAGTTTCCAGAAACCGCGTGGAGTGCGACCTGAGAAAGACCATTTTGGGGAGAATGACGGATTCCCCAGTTTTATGGTGAATAGTAAATAAATAATTAATTGTTTTTTTAATAATAAACTGCTATCAACAGGTGAACCGTATGCTTGTTTATCATCTCAGTGGCATAAAAAAGAATCACTTTTCCCCCGAAAAATAAGATTAAAAGAGTATCTGTTGATTGTCTGCATAATATTTAACCTGTTGAAATTTTTCACATAACCTCAGGTAAATTTTAAATCTAGGGTCGGCGAGGCAGCTTCGAATAAAGTATGATATCCTTAATTTTATGCCTTGAATCTGACATAGAAAGGATCTTAAAATGTCTGCCTTGCGAACAATATAAAAGGTAGCTAGGCAAGTTTCGTCCTTATTTCGTGTTGGATAAAGGTTAAAGTCGAACTAACGTGAACAATGTATTATGAAGATTTCGTTTTTGAATTTTTTTTACCTCTAGCAAAGTTCTAATCTGAAAATTTTCTTATTAACCGACGAAATACAAAAGCAATGGTGGTTATCCAAATTGATGTACGTATATAAGAACTTATATATTATTTCATATATATATATATATATATATATATATATATATATATATATATATATATATATATATATATATATATATATATATATATATATATATATATACCCCGTAAACGTTGTTTTACCACTTATTGCGAAATATAAAAATCGCGATTACAAGACAGGGGTTGATCGTAAAACGATGAAAATTTAAAGTTGTGTGTATTTTTCAAAATGCTTAATCATAATAAAATAAAAATGGAAAAATTTGTTCAAAAAATAAAAAGAAATATTTTGAGAAGGTCACCCTTACCATTAAGGGGTATGAAAAATAGATGTTGGCCGATTCTCAGACCTACCCAATATGCACACAAAATTTCATAAAAATCGGTAAAGCCGTTTCGGAGGAGTTTGGTAACAAACACCGTGACACGAGAATTTTATATATAAGATATATATATATATATATATATATATATATATATATATATATATATATATATAATATCCAGTTCTCAATCTCGTAATCTATATACTTATGTGGCTATTTGCTTAATAGATAATTAAGCTTTCCAAAGGGAGACTGTACAAAAGTCATTTGCTTGGGTACCTCTGTCCCATTCGTGTTTCTACCGTGAAGCAGTTGTGTTTTTCTTAGACAGATATATATATATATATATATATATATATATATATATATATATATATATATATATATATATATATATATATATATATATATATATATATATATATATATATAATTCATATCAAAATAGAATTAGACAGACGTAAACAATAATGTTTGCAGTAAGTAATAATTATTTATGTACATTAATATTGTAGGTAAGTTAAGTTATCACTTAGAGTTCATTGAAACTGATATTAAGTAAGTCAGCTATCATATGTTATGTAACAGTCGTATTGTGAGAACGGTGTCAAAGTGAGTTGATTAAATCACACTAAATTAATAATTAAATCTCACTAAATTAACAATTAAATTAATATCTAATAGTGTCTATTTATAGTTATGTTTCTAAAGTGTCTATTAATTATTAACATATGCATTATTGTGATTGTTCTGGGCGGTGATGTGAGCAGTGATGAAGACTATATGGATGCTGTTATAGCTTTATTGTTGAACGGTGATAATGTAGATTTCATTGAAGACGGTGATAAGGAAGACGGTGAATATATTTTTTTTTTGTGATAAAAATTCTATTATTATTATTAATTCGAAAGTTTGGGCCAAAGGATGGATGTTTATTACTCTTTCATGCAAAAACTATTGAACGGATATACCATATATAAAATTTATTACACTGATACGTTTTTTTTTAATGGGTAAAAATTAAATGGTAACTCCACCTGCGCTATCGGTATACTCTGACGGGGCACCAGTGAGAGATGATAGGTGAAAAGCAGGCCAGTTGGTCCATAGAAACGAATTCATCAAGAAGTAATCATGATGGTTTTGCGTGGAGGTTGTCTTGTATATTGCTAGCAATAGGGTCGTTAGATGCCTTCACCAACAATCCCTTTCTCTTACACCGATAGATTATGTAGTATTTTTTTTTTTTTTTTATAGAACTTAGAATGGCAAACAAGCTGACGGCCACCATGGACATAACAGAGTATACTGTTTCGCCCATGATACCCCCCATGCGTTGCCATTCCTGAGGACTCAGGTGTTATTCCTCTGTACCCAGTAAATTCACGCCATATCCCACCCTTCAAACCGAAACACAGCCATGCAAACACAACTGCTTCACGGTTGAAACACGAATGGGACAGAGGTACCCAAGCAATCGACTTTTGTACAAAGTCTCCCTCTGGTAACTTAATATATAAAATACTCTATATTTGTACACTGATTTTGTGTAAAACAAATATGGGAAGGGGGAGGGATTGGTAGTAATATGGACTATCTGTTCCATTGCAACATATCCGGACCAACTCCCACTCCACGACCTTTCATATCAATTTTTCTTAAATAGTTTTCACGTACAGATATTGTTTTGTTGTAATTTTTTTATATTAGTAAGATTAGTAATAAAAAGTATTAAGAATGAATGTAGATGGCTATAAGAGCAGAGGAAGACCTAAAAAGACATGGATGGATTGTGTGAAAGACGATATGGCCAGAATGGGAGTGAATGCGGAAATGACTGGGAATAGAAAAGAATGCAAGAGGAAAACATATTACGCCGACCCCAAATAATAATTGGGATAAGGGTAGAAAGATGACGATAGTAATAAAAATCATGAAAATGATTACTAATAAGTGCCCAATGATGGTAAAACGTAGCGTTCTATTTAAAATACAAATTCTAATTCATAACTAAATCTACTTACGAAAAAAAAATGTAAAAATAAAAGTAAATTATATAAAAAAAATCGCCCGTCATGTGTGTAAAACCACTGGCAAACCCCCCTTTATGGGGGAGACTATGTTCATCAGTGGACAGTTAACGATTGATTTATTTATTTATTTATAAAAGACACACCAACAATATGCTCACAATAATTAAGCAGACAATATACAATATTATTAGTAAGTAAAAGAGAAAAACTACTATTCAAAAATGCTTAAATCTAAGTTTGAACAAAAAAGTCTTACTCCTCCTTACCAAGCTTAAGGCCATATGAACACACACACACATATATATATATATATAAAGGTGTATACAGCTCTCACAGATAAGGGTCAATGTACACCAACTAACAATTACGAGTATATGTATTATTGATATAATACAGTATATAAAAAAAAAAATATAAATACATAAATAAATGTATTTAAGAATACGTATTGGTAACGAGTACTTATGAACTCGTTCTTACAAAGTTTCAAATTACTAAGAGAGCTGTGGAGAGGGCTATGTCCGAAAAAGTATTCGAAACATTTGACAAATCCGAAAACCGATGGGGAAAAGTATCTCAAGTGACTATAAAAGCGATTGCGATTGCATAAATTACCATAATCGGTTTAAAATTGGACAAGATACAGTGAAAAATATACAAAAATATATAGATATTGTTTGTTTGTTTGTAACATTTTATTGTACAGTAAAATGTTAAAATAAAATACAGAGTTCTTAATAAAAGAATGGCTTTGAATATCTGATAGAAACTGTGAATTGGTGGAGATAAAAAATGTGTCACTGAGGAATTCAAGAATGTTATAATAACCACTTGTTAATCAATAGCCTTGGAATTTCTTCTCATATCTTAAAAGTAGAATGGTCACGCACAATGCGGTTTCAAAGGAGCTTCCTCTTGCGAACACTCAGGTTCCGGAATGATTTTCCTGCCGAAGATTTCTCAAGAGACTTCCGCATGGGGTTCTTAAAAAAGGCATCTTAAGGTTTCTTAATATGCTTATTTGCCACCAAAGTAGTATAAACAAAGACCTTTTCAATTTAATTTTGAAAATTGCTTAAGTATAAGTGCTTTCCAGATAGATGCATTATATTTCTCTATAACAGGCTAGTAAATAACTTTATATAACTTAACGAACTTTTCTATTGGCTCGTGTCTGAGCGCTTTCCTTTGTACATTTAAACTCAATTACAAGCTATTCTCTTGAGATGTAGGTGGACTGGATCAGGTATAACTGTAAGATACTTGCTATGACTGTAAACTTTATAGATTTCAATCCATTAAAGGTGGATATTGTAGTAAATTTGACGTGTGACCTCAGGATAGAACAAGCCACCCCCTTCTTTCCCGTGTGTGTCGTAAGAGGCGACTAAGGGAGGCCAAGGAATGGGCAGAAGCATCCCACTTTAAACATCTCTAAAAGCCTAACTGCGGTTGCCAACCCGCCTGTCAAGCGTAGCAACTACTGGCAAAACTCCCTTTATGAAGAAGGCTTGTTGAAGGCGTGTTTATGTTCAGCAGTGGACAGTTAACGGGTGACACGTTGTTATTTTCAAAATCATACTTACACTCCTGCTCATAATATTTATATTATACCCTTAATTGAAATACAGCCATGCAAGTAGCAGCTTCGAAGTTGTTCTATTCCAGATCAAATATTTGACCTCCTTATGTAACATGACACCTACTCTTTCCTTTATCTGGTCTATGCGGTTCTTCCTAGTTCTCCCTCCTTCTCTTTTGCCCTCTATCTTTCTTTTTAGCATGATCTTTATAAAATCATCATGTTAAATAAAATGATCCAGCATTTTGCGACTTCATTTTTAGAAGACACACCGATCCTGACTGGAGGTATTTGGAAATGTGGTGACTGTGAGGACGTCGACGAGTCTAAACTCATCTATAGTGAGAGCAACGATATCGATACTGGCATGACAGATGACAATGTGGATATACAGGTAATGTTGCTGCTACTAAATTTTCTCACTCGTATCTCTGCTGTGAAGTAGCTGTTCTTGCTGTTTGTAAGGTGGAATATTAATAATGCGGACTATCAGTAAGAATTATATTTTAACATCGCCGTGTGGTCCCTATATAGAATGGGCTACCCCTTCTTTTCCCGTAGATATCTTGAGAGATAGAGAAGAAGAAGAAGAGTAGAAGAAGAATGGTCGATGATGATGGATGCGCAGCAGCGTCCCTTTTAAAAAATCACCAAATCTTAATTGCGGTTGCCAACCCGCCTACCAAGCGTGGCAATTACTGGCAAACACTCCCTTATGGGGGAAGCTTATAGTTCAGCAGTGGACAGTTAACGGCTGACATGATGTCATATTAAAAATCATACTTATATTCGTATTCATAATACTTATACTACATCGTTAACTGAAATACCGCCATGCAAGTATAATTGCTTGCCAGCAAAAATATTAGCGAATTCACGAGATAAAATGATATAGCGACATCTAGTGTCTTGTTTTTCTTACGCAGTCGCTAACCGAAACGATCTATTGATATTGATTTTTGCTATTTATTTCTTTACAGATTGGTCTTGCATTGACGAATATGCGATGTGTAACCGTCCGAGCAGATGTCGCTGGCATCGTCAGACGGATGGCGGGCGCGTGTAGAGGGGAAACCGTCACACTAACTGTTGCGCCCGCGCAGCACTTCACTGTGAACGTATATGGAAATTAAATATGTAATAATAGTAATACAAACAGACATAATACTTTTTAGAAATAATAATTTATTTAATGGCGAGAATAGATGTAAATGCAATTACAAGAAAGAAGAGAAATATCGCGGTAAACAGGGCGATAATATTTTTTTAAACAACGCCATCTAGTTCCGCATGAAGAGATTGTACTTTGAGAACTAGTTAGTAATATAATGTATAATAATTTTACGAATATTTATTGTATTATTCGCTGAATTTAAATATAATGACAACTCTACTATGTTTAACTTACCTAAATAAGTCAAGCCACAGATTTCTCACATAAATGAAAGGATAAAGTATAAAATAACCTACCATTACAAAGATGTTCAGAAAGAACCATTATTTTCCAGTAAAAATAAATAAAATAAAAATTCTAAAACTAATATTTATAATTTATGTTGATATTAAATGTCGATAAACGGTCGTTAATCCGAAACAGCTTGTCTTTTAACATAGACTTCCTCTAAAGAGTTCCATTCCGCCTTGTACTTTGCTTTGCGGGTCCATATTGGGCCGGCTGTTTTCCTAATGTCATCCTTCCATTTTTTTTTATACAACTTAGAATGGCAAACAAGCTGACGGTCCACCTGGTGGAAAGTGGAAATCGTCGTCTATAGATATGAGCAGTACTAGGGACATAAGAGAGTATACTGTTTCGCCCATGATACTTCCCATGCATTGCTATTCCCGAGGACTCAGGTGTTATTCCTCTGTACCCTGTAAATTCACTGCCATATCCCGCCCTTCAAACCGAAATACAGCCGTGCAAACACAACTGTTTCACGGTAGAAACACCAATGAGACAAAGGTGTCCAAGCAAATGACTTTTGTACAAAGTATCCCTCTGGGACTTTCATTGTACTTGGTATATTAAAATTTTATGTTACAATTATTCACCTCAAGATATAATAGCGCAGTTATAAAAAAATTACGCCGTATAATGTTCGAGTCGCCTTTTAATTAAGCAAGTTTATAGCTTATTTAATTTTAATGAGGCAACTTTTAACACGCTCGTACAAAAATACCATGATAATTATAACTAAAAAGTTTATGTAATGACGCCTCTTTGTTTTTCTCATTAATTGCAATTTATGGACAAAGTTAATAATATTTCCATACTTATAAGAAAAATTGTGATACACTTTTAATTATTATAGTGACTTAATTAATTAAATTAAGAACTGTTTGCCTGTTACTTTTTTTTATACAACTTAGAATGGCAAACAAGCTGTCGGCCCACCTAATGGAGAGTGGTAACCGTCGCCTATAGACATGAGCAGTACCATGGACATAACAGAGTATACTGTTTTGCCCATGATACCCCCCATGCGTTGCTATTCCGGAGGACTCAGGTGTTATTCCTCTGTACCCAGTAAATTCACGCCCTTCAAACCGAAACACAGCCATACAAACACAACTGCTTCATGGTAGAAACACGAATAGGACAGAGGTACCCAAGCAATCGACTTTTGTACAAAGTCTCCCTCTGGTATAAATTGTTACTTGGTACGTGTGGAATTTATATATATTTTATAGGATTTTATTAGAATACTTTATTGGACTTGAACAAAAGATACAGCGATTAGTTACAACTTGTAAAGTAAGTAACTAATAAAAAAACTTGTAACTTGTAGATTTTGCCAGTAGTTGTCATGCATTGCAGGCAGGTTGGAAACCACATTTAGACTTTGGTGATGTTTTAGGAGGTTATTGCCCCCTTATTCGCCTCTTACGACGGAGAAGATGACCAAAGTCCTAGCACAGAAGGTCGGTGTGGCTTTTAGAAATAGGAAAACTAATGAAATGGACCATTTTTAGATAATATATCAAGATCTATGGGCATGCGGCAGCGTGTCCAATCAAATTCAATAAAATATACATTAATTTTAAATTATAACTTTAGAAATACAAGTGTAAAAAGCGCATCCAATTGGGTCTGCTAATTTTTTGTGTGATATCGGAACAAACGTACAGGCAGACAGACAAACAATATTTTTAAAAAAGATATCGTTTTAACTCTTCGTATCAATTGGTTATTGTCAACAAACGATCAAAACATGAGCTTGAAAAATTTGTTACCATTCAGGCACCTTTGAACGACAGTCAAGCGTTGCCTTACTGAACTGTTACAGTTTTAGGCAAAAATATTTCTGAATTAATATTTTAAGAAAAAATAATATTTAAAAGATCCTATATAAACAATATTTCTAGCGTGAATATTTCTAATATGATTATTAAAAATAATAAATAAATAAATAATATAAATATAACCTCTGTTGCTGGCAACTTGGCCTGCCGGCCATTTTTATATAATTTTTTTTTATATTATTCTTTCTCATATATTAATTTTTGACACCTTTTTATTTGTTAGTTCAAATGTATACAGTTTGCATGATATCGCACGCTTAATAATAAATAGAAATAACTCAAAAATCGGGAAAATCTAGTTTTTGTAATAAAACATAATAATAATGCGAAAAGAATAGGTAGAGTTCGACAGCCTTTCAATTTTCATGAATAAGACGGAGATAAAAGATCGATCGCCTCTTTCATTCCAAACGGGTTGGCAATGTTGTCTGTCAAAAAGCGATGCATTTAGTGATGAATCAATCTTGGTAAAAAGTAGACGTACGTTTTTGTGGCGTAAAGTAGAATATTGCTGTTTACAATTAAAACGTGAGTATATTATTCATATTTTTTTAATAATAAAATGCAATATTTCAATTTAATTCTATTTAATATTTAAAATTGTGGTATTGTCAAATGCATAATCTGTACTTATTTCAGTTTAGTTTTAAATTGTTTCAGTGGTTTAAGAAGTAACTTGAGTTATTTCAGTTTATTTTTAAAATTCTATCGCATTTTTTGTAACATTAAAACCTATTTCAGTTTATTATCAAAATGTGGTAAGAGTTGGGTTAAATTTTTGTTTTTATCTCAGTTTATTATTAATAGCAAAATAAATTTAATTGATGTTATTGTAAGTTATTGCTTTTTCTGATTATCTAGGCTCTGCGACTATGCGAAAATGTTTTCAAGAGGCCGAAAGATTTTAGGTCTACTAAATATCCCAGCAATCGAAAATGAGGGAGAATTAGTGTCAAGTGTTGGACATTGATTCAGATTTATTGGTAAGGCACTTACTGTGTCATTCCTTATTACTATTTGCAAACATAGGTAAGCGCAAACCTAATCAACGGTTGTTTCAGAATTCACAAGATCAAGATAATACCTCGTTAAACATAGAAAATATTAATCATTCGAACGAAAACTTTGATATGATATTAAGTTATTTAGAAGTGAGTACTATGTTACATTTTCAATTATTATTTTAATTAGTTTCACAAGTTTGTATGAAAACAAAGGAGATCCGTTTTAATGATTATTTACTTTTTACAAAAACCAATTTCGGTTGAAATTAAGAGCAATATTAGTACCAAATATGACCAGCCTCTTTCTATAACAAAAAGTCAAAAATGTTTTCCTTTGAACCTTGTACCTGATTATGATAATCAGTCGTGCATAGAAGACGAGAAGACAGTCGCAAATACTGCGCGTCGTTCATCTACCAGTTTGATTTCTTCTTCAAATTTGTTTGGATCCTCTTCAAATTCAGACAGTTTAACGTCATCCAACAAATCTGGACGAACAGAAGGAAGTTCTGTTTATTTCCAAGTACTTAGACCTAACCAGATTGCGAATGTTTCTTCTGTAGAATCGAGCCAAGACGACATTATTGAGAATATGCCGATGACAGATCAGTTAAAATACAGCAGAGACAAAGTAATTTTCAGTTTATTTTCGACTTATTTATCTTTTATTATATTTCTCTAAGTTTTTTTATTTATTTGCCCTTTCATTTCTTTGCAGCTACAACTTGCAATTAATTCTGCCTTACATAAGCGTAGATGCTGCCTTAATAACAATTTGGGGACAATATCTCCAATATACACTGATGAGAGTGATGTATATGACGATGTCGCAGATCCAACATTTGTTTCCGAAGATCAACTTACTGAAAGCTGTAGAAGGAGGTTTAAATTAGTCCCGGCAACCTCTAGTTCTTCAGATTCCGAGCCTGAAGTTGAGATTGAGCAAAAAGGTCGTAAACGAACCCAGTGTCTACAAAAATGGAAACAAAATAAGGCAAAACAATTGAGAAATCTTGGAGAAAAATATGTATCCCTTTCTAAAACTAAAAAGACGATGCCAAGCCGTTGTCTTAAAATACCATGTGAAGAGAAATGCCACTTAAAATGTTTTCAAAATATTAGCACTGAGGAAAGATATAAGATATTTCGTAATTTCTGGAAATTAGGTGATTTAGGTGAGCAAAGAGCTTTTATCAATTAGTCTATGGTTGACCTGATGCCCAAGTATGCAGAAATGCATAAAATGAATAAACACAAATGCAGAAAAGCCAAGAGCTCCAAACAAGGCCTACTACTTAACCTCAAAGAATGTCAGGATTAGAGTCTGCAAATTATTTTTCAAAAGCACTCTAGATGTGACTGACCGCATGATACGTACAATCCAACATAAAAAAGATAGTACTGGAATAGTGCAAGGAGACCTTCGAGGAAAGCATGGGAACCACAGGCAATTGAATAAGGAATTATAGTAATATAAGGAAGCATATAGATTCCATTCCTCGGATTGAGCCGCATTATGTTCTTCAAGGCAGTATATTGACACAATTTTAATGTCAATACAGGAAGAGTATCAGTAAACTGGAATGACATAAAACAGATAAAAGTTTCTAAGGAGAATCCATTTACAACTTACTACAAAACATCTTACGAACAAAAGACCTGTCAGGAAATCGATATAAGGAACAAACGAAAGAAGATGCCACCCATTAATTTAATCTCTCTTGAAAAAGCATATACTGAAAAGCAAGAGTTAAGTGATAATAAGAAGAAAGACTTACGGGAACTTCTCAATAAAGGTCTTATTCCTCCATATTATTATCAAAACTTCAACAATACTACTTTGTCTGATTAAGTTAAAACCTATACTAATTTTTCATAGTGATTTTATATTATTAAGTACTACGATATAAAAGGGATTTTTTTTTAAGTTTTTGATTATTAGAGATTTTTATTTTTTTGTTTGTTTTAGAAGTCGATTTTGTTTTAAGCTTTAGATCTCAATTATTCCAAAGTATAGGTTAAATAAAAAGTACCTTAGTACGTTATTTGTGTAGTCCTAATTTCACTAAGGCTCATTTTATTTGATTTATTGAACATGATGATGATTATTATATTTAAGTATTAAGATTAACGTGATGATCTCTACCTTACTCAATGTGTATTAAACAAGGCTGTTTTAGTTTATGCTAGAAGTTCCTACTTATGTTATTTTCATATTTTTTGTTACTAGTTTGTAAGTCTATAGGTGCAAAACTTCAAGACTGAAAGTTTATGTTGATTAAATAGTATCCAAGCCAAGTCGTAGTTTTGTTTTTCACTGTTTTTTTTTATAACATTTTACTAAATAATTCTGTGAATACAGAATTTATTTCAGATTAAATTTATGTTTTTAAAAGTAGCATAAATAAAAAAAGAAAATATTTTGATATAAATTTCAGTAGTCGTATACTTACAGATCAAAAGAGAAATAACACTCATAGCTACCAATGATTTAATTTTTCTTTTAAAATAAAAGAGAACTATTTAGTTAAGTGCCATAGCTTATATGTTTTTGATTACTTTGTTTTTGTAATAAACTGAAATAAGTCGCAGGCTTTTTTTTTTTTCAGTTTTTTTCGGAGTTTCCAATATTGTAAAATGGTAATTGCTATACCAAATTGAAGGTCGATATCTCTACTTTTAGATTAATTTCTTTTATTTTGAGAAATATGACAATTTTTTACCTTTTTTTCATATTTAGTGCAACGAGTCAAACTTGCAAAACTTAAAACGTAATTTCCCAACATTTCAAATTTTTGAGTTATTTCTCTTTATTATTAAGCGTGCGATATGCTGTTTCATTGTTCCTTCAGTCATAAACCATAATGATATAGTCACAAGGTTTTTTGTCCCTTGTGACAAACGAGCATGCGGCTCACCTGATGGTAAGTGACTACCGCCGCCCATGATCACCCACAACACTAACGGCATTGCAGGTGTGCTGCTGGCCTTTTAAAAAGGAATATGCTCTTTTCTTGAAGGTTATGTTGTCATATCGGTTTATAAATACTGCTGCTGGAAGTTGATTCCAAAGAATGGTTGTACGTGGAAGAAAGTGCCTTGAAAAACGCACGGTGGAAGACCGCTATTTGTCTAGATGGTTGGGATGCTTTAGTTTATGGCGGGTTGTACGGTGATGAAAATCAGCAGCAGGTATCAATCCGAATAATTCCTCAGAGCATTCATCGTTTTCTGGACGAAAATCGAATGGTAACTTCGCTTTCGCCATCGGCATACGCTAGCAGGGTACCAGTGAGAGATGATGTGTGAGGATGAAGCAGGTCAACAAGAATTAATCACATTAGTTTCTAAGTATTTTTTTTAATGGATGGTAATGGAATAATAACCCCCCGCCTGTGCTATCGGTGTACACTGGCGGGGCACCAGTGAGGGATGACTGGTGAAGATGAAAAGGCAGGTCAGTTAGCCTATCGTAGCGAATTTAACGATAATTTAGTCAAGATGGTTTCCAGGGGGAATCGCGTGGAGGTCGACTTGGTAAGGTATATTGACAGTAATGGGGACTAACCTCCCCATCTGAAGCACTTGTCGTCTGTTGCTGTTGAACATACAAAAAAACAATCGAAAGGAATGTAAATATCATATTAATGTTTGTACATGTGCTAGGACAAACGAGTATTACTGAAAACAATGGATACTATGATTTTACTATTTAATAACTGACATACGATGGTTCAGAGGTTAATAATTGCATATACTCGTAAATTAGAATCTGTACGTACTGTCTGTCAAGTTTATGTCATTTATCATGACGTCACTATTGTTATTACATAATAATTTATAATAAACAAAACATTGGTATACCTATAATTTTTTTGCATGGCTGTGTTTCGGTTTGAAGGGTGGGATATGACGTGAATTTACAGGGTACAGAAAAATAACACCTGAGTCCACAGGAATGGCAACACATGGGGGGTATCATGGGCGAAACAGTATACTCTGTTATGTCCATGGTACTGCTCATGTCTATAGGCGACGGTTACCACTCTCCATCAGATGGTCACTTCAAAAAAGTGAGCGTATCAAGTGTTCTCGCCAGTTTTTGGAGCTCTGTGAAGAGAGTAGGGAAGACGTTATGGCCCGGATTCTTAAATATATATATATATATATATATATATATATATATATATATATATATATATATATATATATATATATATATATATATATATATATATATATATATATATATATATATAAACTGTCTACAAATCTACATCTAGTACAATGGAAAGATTGATATTGAATTGTAATTTTTCCTCCAAGGAAATTGAATGTATTAGTAATCATAATTACTCGTACTACAAACAAATATGGATACATTGTAATGCAAAAATGCGATTAAAAGGGTATATATCTAAGAAGAAGAATTATGTCCTTGTAACATAGTCCATAAATACGTTGCGATCGACGCAGTATTTTTTATAAAGCTTGCGAGCTCACGAGACTGTGATAAATCTGTAAATTCGCATGCAAATTTGATAATGTGTGTTTAATATAAATAAATATATATTTATGTTTAAATTAAAAAAAATTAAACATTAGAAAAAAGTAATAAATACCTGTTATTTTGAAAATCATATCATTAAATTATTTTTAAAGTGACTGTTTTTTTTTATGGAATGTGATACATCTGTGGTACCTTGATACTAAGGATACTACCATAATTCAGGTAAGATTTTTTTTAATATATTGTTTATAAATTAGAGCATATAAAATCAACCTTATAATAAATACCTTTTAATTCTGATAAAATAGTAACGTCGCTAGTAAATTGTAACCTTTTGCTTTGTTCTCGAACACGAAGATTTTTTATTCAAAGTAAAGATACATTTTCTTAAAATACCAGATACCAGAGGAAGACTGTAGAAAAGTCGATTGCTTGGCTACCTCTGTCCCATACGTGTTTCAACCGTGAATCAGTTGTGTTTGCATGTCTGTGTTTCGGTTTGAATGGTGGGATATGGCGTGAAATTCTCTATAACGCATACGTCCGAAGTACACTTGAATATGCTTCTCTGATATGGAATCCCCAATATCAATGTCATATCGATCGTATTGAGAGAGTGCAAAGAAGTTTCACACGTTACTTGGCTTACAAAGATAAATTATGTCCAATAACTGCATCTTATACTGATCGTCTGGAATTCTTCGGGATGAAGTCACTGAGTCAGCGTAGAAAGATTATAGATCTTATAATGTTGTTCAAGATTTTAAATGGCCTTATTTTGATACCTGACGTTGTTAAGGATATACGCTTTATAGTACCACGTAATTTCAATATTAGAACTGCTAAAATAGTTAACACATTTTCAACATACGCTTGTCGTACTAACTTAGGATCCAATTCTCCCCTCAACAGAATGTTATCATCGTATAATAAAGCCGTAAACGTTGACCATGATATCGACATCTTTGGTAATTCTTTAGTGCAGTATACTAGGCTTATTAATAATATGGATTGGTAGTTAGGTCTTTTCTAGTTGTATAATTGTTAGTTAGTATACATTGACGCTTATCTGTGAGAGCTGTATACGCCTTTAATTGATATGTTCATATGGCCTTAAGCTTGGTAGTGAGGAGTAAGATTTTTTTGTTCAAACTTAGATTTAAGCATTTTGTAATAGTAGTTTTTCTCTTTTAATTACTAATAATATTGTACATTGTCTGCTTAATTATTGTGAGCATATTGTTGGTGTGTCTTTTATAAATAAATAAATAAATAAATAAATAAATTACAGGGTACAGAGGAATAACACCTGAGTCCTCAGGAATGGCAACGCATGGGGGTATCATGGGCGAAACAGTATACTCTGTTATGTCTATGCTACTGCTCATGTCTATAGGCGACGGTTACCACTTTCAATCAGGTGGGCCGTCAGCTTGTTTGTCACTCTATATTGCATAAAAAATATGTACAATTACAAATTGAAATTAAAATTTATTTTATATATAAACTTAAGTTTATAACTTAAGTAAATTAGCGAAGTACTGCTTCAGAGTCAAGTCCATTGATTATTTTTTCCATCAGATCATGAATAAGAATTTTCTTGTTTTTTTTTCATTCGTCAATATATTCATAATTTTTTTTATATCACGATGGCAAATGGACATGCGGCTCACCTGATGGCAAGTGCAATACTAGAGGCATTGAAGGTATATTGCCAACCTTTTAGAAAGGAATATGCTCTTTTCTTAAAGGTTATGATGTCGTATCGGTTCGGAAATACTGCTGTTGGAAGTTGATTCCAAAGAGTGGTTGTGCGTAGATGAAAGTGCTTTGATAAATGCACGATGGAGGACCGCCATTCATCCAGATGGTTTTTTTTAATGGATGATATTGAAATGGTAGTTTTACCCGCGCTATCGGTATACACCGGCGGGGCACCAGTGAAGAATGATAGGTGATGAAGTAGGTCAGTTAGCCCATTGTGATGAATTCAACAAGAATTGTTCACGATGGTTTCCAGGGGGAACCACGTGGAGGTCGACCTAATAAGGCATATTGCTAGCAATGGGGCTGTCAAATTCCATTGCTAACAATCCCTTTTCCCCCCATCCAGATGATTGGGATGCAATTTTAGTTTCTGGCGAGTTATACTGTGGTGAAATTTACGAATATTTTTTTTTTTAGTAAACATGGCTGCTTTTAACAAAATCTCGAGCACGTATAAACCTGTCGCCGAATATTATGCAGGGAAATCTTTATTCATAACGGGCGGCACAGGATTTCTTGGAAAGGTAATATGAATCATATATGATACGGGGTTAGTCATAATTAAATATCAAATCGAAAACTAGTAATAGTATCCGAGCAGTAAGTACTTTATATTATTCTCAATTTCGTGTATAATATAGTATATGTCATATATGTGTAAGTATATTTGTTATTTATATATATTTATTCGTTTATATATGTAGTTTTAGTATGTATGTATATCAATAATTACTAGTACCGCATTCGAGTATTCTGACACTTCCCTATGGTTGACTGGGAGAGAATGCTTTTAGCATTAAGTCCGCCATGTACACATATCAGCAATGATTATTGATTAGTTAATTATTAAATTTATTATCATCATCATCATTATTTCAGCCATTATCTATCCACTGAACATAGACCTTCCCCATAGACTGCAGCAAGTAACGGTCCTGAGCCACCTGCATCCACTGACTCCCTGCGATACATTCGAAGTCGCCACTCCATCTAGTGGGGGGTCGTTCTATATTGCATTTGCCACTACGGGGTCGCCACTCAAAAATCTTTATCTCCCTCGGTTGGTGCCATTCTTCGTGCTATTATTAATTATAATTATTGATTAATAAGTATTATTTCAGGTTTTAATAGAAAAACTGTTATACAGTTGCAAGGATATAGACAAAATTTACATTTTGGTACGCAATAAAAACAATATAGAGGTCAACAAAAGGATGAATCAAATGTTAAATAATCCTGTAAGTATACTATTCGATACAATGAGATATTTATTTACTTTATTGCACCAATATTACAGGACTTGTTGAAGAATTTTTAATAAGCATAGAGTAGTACAAAAGGCGGTCTTATTGCTAAGCAATCTCTTCCAGACAACCTTTGGATAGAAGGTTTAATGAATAAAAAAAAATAACGTTAAGACTGCGACACACAAAAAGACTTTAATTGTAGCTAAGCCAAATAATTTTAATTCAAAAACCAAAATATTAAACCGATTTTGATGAAATTTCTATGGGGCCTGTCTGAAAGTATATTTTTTTACATAGACTAAGAATTTTCCAAACGGGTTTTCCAAACTGACGAAGTTACGAGGAAATAAATATTAATAAAAAGATATACAAACCAATTGAGAATTTCCTTGTTTTTGAAGTCCTTCGCTAATCCTTAGACGGGGTATATGTTTGTTTGCGAATTTAGTGGTATAAAAAAAAAATGTGACATACATCATAATTGCTTTGTGCTTAAGTGATTTAGTAAGCAGTATTGTTTAGTTATAATTCTAATAGTAAATAACTTGTTTAGATTTTATGGGATTAACATGTTAAAAAACAAAAATCCCAAATTAAACGTAGATTAAAAAAAATCATAATTTCTGTAAACCAGTAGTTATATGGAACACTAGAAAGAGAATAATGTCATATCGATGCTTATTTATGCCTACTCGGAGTCAGTATTAAAAATTATAAGATAAGATAAAGATATATTTATTTAACAAAGTATGTTTGTATTAGCACAGAATTTATCATTGCTTCCTACACTAAGCTGAGCCTGTCCTGCAGGAAGCAGTACTCGTGTTATCTTATACATGCATATAGATATTAAACATAGGCTTTTTAGCGGTACTGACAATTGTGTAACTAATTTGTATAATGCAATTATTTCATTTAGATCTCACATTCACCACCAATACACATGTATGAATAAGTATTATGAATGTGTGTGTGTGTGTGGTGTATGTTGTGTGCATGTGTGTGTGTGTGTGTGTGTGTGTGTGTGTGTGTGTGTGTGTTAATATATAAGTAATCAATACATATAATAAAATCGTAACTGGTCGCTGTCTGTACATGGAAGATATATAAGAAAAACTATTAAAGGGAGGCTTTATGAACGCAATAGAACACAAAACAATGTTTTTTATTTTATTTTTTCTGTTTGTCTGTACGTTTGTGTTCTCATCTCAAAAGCGGTTGCGATTTACTTCACTTAACATTTAGTGTTTGTTTTATTTCAATCGGTTCATAAATAAAAAAGTTATATCAATCTAAAGAATCACATATAAAATACTGTAAAATAACCGATCAGTTGAATTGGCACATGTATGAAGGTATTAGGTACGTAATTATCATTTAAGTATATAATATATTATAAGACCGGATTCGTGAAGAGCTCCAATGGGAATGATATACGGGAAGTGTATAGTTAGAAGCGAGCAAAGCCGCGGGAAACGGCTAGTATGCAATATACAATCTACTGTTATGCAATGTGCATACAATATGTACTTGTCAACAAGTTTAATTGAACATTCGAGCTGCAGGTAACATTGTCTTGTCAAATGCAGACTGCACCTCTGTACTAGCTCGTATTTTGAAATTAATTAGCCATGCACTAGGTAATTAAAAGCGTTTCTAATATTTACGTTAAATAAATCTAATATATAAAGTTCTCGTGTCACGGTGTTTGTTACCAAACTCCTCCGAAACGGCTATACCGATTTTCATGAAATTTTGTGTGCATATTCGGTAGGTCTGAGAATCGGCCAACATCTATTTTTCATACCCGTCAATGATAAGGGTGACCCACCCCTAAAAATTTATTTTTTATTTTTTTGACATTTTTTTTATTTTTATTTTAATATGATTTAGCATTGAAAAATACACACAACTTTAAATTTTCATCGTTTTACGCGATCAACCCCTGTATTTTAATCGTGATTTGTATATTTCGCAATAAGTGGTAAAACGACGTTTACGGGGTCAGCTAGTAAATGTATATTAAATGCATAAATTATGAGGGGCACTAAATGTTTATTTAAATTTGTTTTTTGCTCGCTGCTTGCATGAATCGGTATATGAAATATTCTGTAAGTTAAAATATGATAAATAACCTACCTTCATAAACTTTCAGTCAATTCAATTGATCCATTATTTTATAGCATTTTTTATGTAATTCTTTAGATTGATATAACTTTTTTATTTATAAACCGACTGAAAGAAAACAAACACTAAATGTTAAGTGGAGCATACTGCAATATATTAGTGAAAAACGCATTAAAATCGGTTAAGCCGTTTCTGAGATTAGCGTGCACAAACCTACAGACAGACGAAAATTCTAAAAATTATTGTTTTGTTTCTATTGCGTTCATAAAGCCCCCTATAATAGTTTTTCTTATATGCCTTTCATGCACAAACAGCGACCATTGACGTATTTAATAAATAAAATGAGTGTTTACGCATTAAAAAGATTCAGAATTTATAAGGCAAAATAAATATAGAAGTTATAAAGGAATCACTCATAACTATTTATCACGCATAATTGTATGAAAATGGTGACCGTTTTTCTCGAAGCATTCTATGGAGACTATCTATATAATCTAAGCCTATATATAGACTTTTGCAATTACTAAAATTTGATAGTAAGATAGGATATGATTTATCAGTATTCATAGACATCTTATTGTGGGAACGCGCGCACGCCTCCGCCTCAGGGCCGATGTGGGACAGCAGCCGCCCCCGCGGTTGCTGCCCCAGGCCCGAACGTCGGAAGAAACGGGTCGTCAGAGTCCCTTCTTCGACGTCTCGTTCTTCTTCGCCGGGTGGCGCTGGCTGAAGAGGCCATCTCTCGCTCTCTTTCTGCCTCCTCTTTTTTAGCTACGACGGCCTCACAAAAATCGAGGACTGCCGTCCAGGACCTTTCGTCGCTCACCATCTCCTTAACAACGGAAGGCAACGAGAGGTCACTTCCGACAACCGCGACCAGGTCACAGCGTTTCCTAGCGAATGCGAGACACACCTCTAACACATAGTCAACCCTACCCAACCCAACCCAATCCAACAACAATGTCAAGTAGTCAAAAAGTATAAAATATTGGCAGTCTAGATAGTAATTGTAGTGAAATTAGACAAAATAATTTTAAGCCACTAAGCGGGCACTCATGATGAAATTGGATAATAATAATATTAAAAAAAAAATACAACAAAACATAAAATAATATTATTTCTTTTTTAGCTTTTTACGAGATTAAAGCAAAACAAAGCAGATTGTTTGACAAAATTGATTCCGATTGTTGGCGATATCACTGAACGGAACTTGGGAATGACGCCTGCGGACGAGCGGCTTTTAATCGAAAAGGTATCTTATATTTTATTAATAGAGTAGCAAATACAGTGACAGACTAACTGAAACCTGTTGAAAAATATCTAACTAGCAATAATATATTGGTTTTTAACGATGTTGTACCGTATACAACGGGAAATTAATGAACGCACTGTGTTTTGTCGTTTTCGACAATTGTTCCGATAGAATAGCACTATTGTCTCCGGTCACCGCTATCCCCTCCCCCATCTCCACACGCACTGACGTCATCACGGGCTGTGGACGACGAGCTAGAGAGATGCTTTGACGCAAAGCGCCTTACGCCCCCTGAAGAAGACTTCCGGATGAAGTCCAAACAACTGTCAGAAATGTCAAAATACATTCTGTTCGTTAATTTCTCATTATATATATGAATGAATGAATATACTTTATTTTCATTATACAATATAGAAAATAAGTAAGATAATTAATAAACGTACCTAACTATACAGTTGTGGGGGAAAGGGATTGTTACTAATGGAGACTGAGAATCCCATTGCTAGCAATATACCCAACCAGGTCGACCTCCTCGCGGTTCTCCTTGGAAACTATCATGGTTAATTCCTGATGAATTCATCATGATGGGCTAACTGGCCTGTTTTCATTGTCATCTATCACACTTCACTGGTGCTCCGCCAGCGTATCCCGTTAGCGCAGGCGGGGTTACCATACCATTTTCACCCATAAAAAAAAAACTATACAGTTGTATAAATACAGTAAGGCAGTCTTATTGCTAAAAACAATATTTTTGATGTCACATTATATTCTAAGTTGTATAAAAAAAAATTCTATGTCGCTAATGGTAGCTACATTGGGATTGAATTTTTGAAGACTACAGACGTCCTTTTATTCATATAAAAACCGAAACTCTTATAAAGCTATTTTAATTAATGAATTGTTGACTTTTTCTTTTAGGTTAAGGTTTCAATTTGAAAGACAGCAACAAAACACTAATAGTTAATAAAGTTTTGTGGACGATTTAGTTTTTATGAATAAGGGGTTTTATGAATAGGGGTAAGTCGAGAGATGTTTGTATTTGGACAAAATTCTCGGATTTTAATCCGGCTGGGGTTAAATCAAACGAGAGCTAATTTTACTTCGGTCATAATAATCCTTTTGCACTTGCAAGCTTAAATAAAGAGAAATTATATTCACGGAAACCATAGAAGAGTTTTGAAGAGTCTGTATGTATTGCAATTTATTACGACTTGCATTTGCTTTAGAATAATTTACATGATAAAATATGAAGCCAGTTGTATAATAAAGTATTATAAATTGGGTAAAATATCGCATAACATAAAATATTGGACAAGAATTAGGAACGTCCATATTTTGTAAGTAATTAAGTAAGAGATTTTCCTTAAAGATTACAGTATGGGGTTATTAAAACAAGGGTGTAACAAGGTTTCTTCTGGTTTGGTAACTCGCACGTGACACCCCTAGTGCTGCAGGCAGTGCTGTAGTTTACCAAAGGGAGACTTTGTACAAAATTCGATTGCTTGGGTACCTCTGTCCCATTCGTGTTTCAACCGTGAAGCAGTTGTGTTTGCATGGCTGTGTTTCGGTTTGAAAGGTGAGATATGGCGTGAATTTACTGGATACAGAGGAATAACACCTGAGTCCTCAGGAATGGCAACGCATGATGAGAGATATCATGAGCGAAACAGTATACTCTGTTATGTCCATGGTACTGCTCATGTCTATAGGCGACGGTTACCACTTTCCATCAGGTGGGCCGTCAGCTTGTTTGCCATTCTAAGTTGTATAAAAAAAGGCGTTTATAGGCTACAGTAACCGTTTACCATCAGATGGGCTGTAAGCTAGTATGCCATCGCCGTGGTAAAAAAATAAATAAATTAAACTTCTTTTTTTTTTATTTGAGGTATCCGTCGTATTTCATTCGGCCGCTACAGTACAATTTAATGATCCGTTACCAGAAGCTGTGAGAGTAAACGTGGAAGGTACGAAGAATATCATCGATTTTTGTCATAAATTGAAGAATATAGATGTAAGTGATGAGTGGTTTTTTTTTAAATTACTGTAAATGTAATAGTGTTTTTTTTAGATAATGAGATAATGTTGCTTTGTGTATCATAATCATCTTATCAGTCTTTAACTGTCCACTGCCTCTCCTTGGGGGGTTTTACCAGTAGTTGCCATGTTAAGCTTTGGATATGTTTTAAGAGGGACGCTGCTGCCCATCCCTCGCCCTTCTTTAGTCGCCTATTGCGACACCCACGGGAAAGGAAGGGGTGGCTTATTCTATACCAGGTTCATACGCCCATCTCTCTATTTCTATATTCTTTTTTTTTTAATAACACAGGGGGTAAACGAGCATGCGGCTCACCTGATGGTAAGTGACTACCGCCGCCCATGATCACCCACAACACCAGCGGCATTGCAGGTGTGCTGCAAGTCTATGCAGGGACCTACATTTATTATTTTTTATATATTTCGCAGATGCTTGTTCATATTTCAACAATATACGCCAACTGTAATAGAAAAATTATTGAAGAAATAGTATATCCACCTCCTGTGGACTTTACTGAGTTGAATACATACATACAGACAGTTTCATGTGACGAGAAAACAACGACAAATATTCTAGGTAATGAATTTATATTATACTAGCGAGCAAGATAAATATGTAGTTGCATGTATTAATATTGTAGGGATTACATTTTTTTTTATAAACATATTTATTTAACAAAGTATCCTTCATAAAAGAGTTGAGTCTGCGCATTGCGTATAGGGGCCATGATCGCCGTTCTGGTTCGTATCTGGCTCAAAGGATATCTCTGGCAATCCAACGCGGATATGCCGCGAGTGTCATGGGGACCTTTGGGTCGGGTCGGATCATGAATGGGACTGATTGTTGATTTTTTTTTTGTGGTACTGTGAAATGTATTAGTTTTATGAGTATTGTAATTTGTGAAATGAAATATAAATATAATTTAACAAAGTATGTTTGAATTAGCACACAAAGAATTTATCACTGATTCCTACACTAGGCTGAGCCTGTCCTGTAGGAAACAGAATTCGTGTTATCATACAGAGATTAACATAAGCTTTTTAGTGGTACTGATAATTGTTTATCTAGTAATTTATATATTAATTTTTTTACAAATTATATAATATTTTTTTTTTTTAATAAAATATAGTCCATGTTACTGATGATGTAGTTTTATATAGATGAAAGAATTTTTTAAATCGGTTAAGTACTTTTTTGCGTTTATCTATTACAAAAAAAAAACAAATATTTCCTTTTTTATTTTTTTTTGATTCAACGATGGTGACAAACAAACATATAACCCGTCTGATGGTAAACTGTCACTGTAGCCTATAAACGCCTGCAACACTAGGGGTGTCACGTGCACGTTGCTGACCCTAAAGGAACCTTAATTTACCCTTTTTAAAGAATCTCATACATATTAATTATTTATATTTATAATAAGTTTACTATTGTAATCTTTTGGAGGAAACAATAAAGAGTATCTATCTATCTATCTATTAATTTAGGTGTTCTACGTGTTGTAACATGATATTTTTTATGATAGATACTTAGAATAGCACATAAGCTAACGGCCTGCCTGATACAAAGTTGCAACCTTCGCCTATAGACAACTATTGCATGACATTGCAGAGTATAATGTAATACCCATGACATGTACCCTGCAATTCTACTGCCATATCTTTCCGAACTGTAACACAGCCATATGGATTAATCACAGATGGTAGAACAGAAGTACCCATGCTGGCGGCATTAAATGCATGGCGACATAAAAAAGTCGTCCTCTGTTTATTGTAATAGAACTAGGTTTCGTAAAATTTTATAGGTGAATGAATGCATGACATAGTCTGTCCCATTCGTGATTCAACCGTGAAGCAGCTGTGTTTGCATGGCTGTGTTTCGGTTTGAAGAGTGGGATATGGCGTGAATTTACTGGGTACAGAGGAATAACACCTAAGTCCTCAGGAATGGCAACGCATGGGGTGTATCATGGGCGGAAGAGTATACTCTGTTATGTCCATGGTACTGCTCATGTCTATAGGCGACGGTTACCACTTTCCATCAGGTGGACTCTTGTTTGCCATTCTAAGTTGTATAAATTTTTTTTTTATTCTCATTAGGTAACAAGCCGAATACATATACATTCACGAAAGCGATCGCCGAGTCTTTAATAGAGAAGGAACATGGAAAAATACCAACCGTCATAATCCGGCCATCCATCGGTAAATGTATAAATTATGGCCAAAAAAACTTTCTTGTGGCCATAATATAAATTTAAGTCTGGCCACATAAATATGTTGATATTATTTTTTATATCTTTTTCTTTTTGTTTCTATGCAAATGGTTGTCTCGTCTCGTATGCATACTATTGTTTTATTTTTATTTTTTGTTCTTTTGCTCTTGTTTTGTGTGCTACTGTTTGAGTCGAATGCTTCTTTGATTAAATTATTTTTCTTTCTTTTCTTTCTATCTATACGTATATATTGTTGCTCTTAACAATATCATTTTTCACCATATGAAAGAAAGAAAGAAACTTTATTTTACAAAAAATATGCTTATAGACATGAGCAGTCCCATGGACATAACAGTGTATACTGTTTTGCCCATGATACCCCCCATGCGTTGCCATTCCTTAGGACTCAGGTGTTATTCTTATGTACCCAGTAAATTTATGCCATATCCCACCCTTCAAACCTTCAATAGATATAGTTGTATTATAATTATTATGTCAGCCATTAACTGTCCATTGCTGAACATTGGCCTCCCACTTAAGGGGGGTTTGCTAGTAGTTACCAGTGGCATGAGGGGTTAGCAACTTCAGTTAGACTTTGGTGACGTTTTAAGAGGGACACTGCTGTTTATCCCTCGTCCATTAATTTCTTTTAGTCGCCTCTTATGACACTCACAGAAAAGGAGCCCATTCTATGCCGGGATTCTATGGCAATATATAGTTTTTTTTTTTGTGGATAAAAATGGTATGGTAACCCCGCCTGCGCTAATGGGATACGCTGGCGGAGCACCAGTGAAGGGTGATCGATGAGAATGGAAACAGGCCAGTCAGCCCATCATGATGAATTATATAATAATAATAATAATAATAATTTTTTTTTTATTATTCCACCACAACCATATTATGAATTGATCAGGAATTAACCATGATAGTTTCCAGGGGGAACCACGAGGAGGTCGACCTGGTTGGGTATATTGCTAGCAATGGGATTCTCAGTCTCCATTACTAACAATCCCTTTCCACCCGGCAATATATAGTTATAACATACTGATATATCCACATACTAGAAATGCAATCACAGCTACGAGATGAAAAACCAATTACTCTAGTATGCGTGCAATGTAAGAGTGTGTATTTGACAGTTTTGAATTTGCAAGGAATTGAAATTGAAAAATAGTAGATTCTGTTACTTTAATTTTTATTCATGAGCACTTACATCATTATATATTTATTTATATAACTCTTTATTGCACCAAAAACATAAAAATAAACAATGACATATAAACAATTCAACTGAAATACAGTACCATTTTTTTATACAACTTAGAATGGCAAACAAGCTGACGGCCCACCTGATGGAAAGTGGTAACCGTCGCCTATAGACATGAGCAGTAACATGGAAATAACATAGTATACTGTTTCGCCCATGATACCCCCCATGCGTTGCCATTCCTGAGAACTCAGGTGTAATACCTCTGTACCCTGTAAATTCACGCCCTTCAAACCGAAACACAGCCATGCAAACACAACTGCTTCACGGTTGAAACACGAATGGGACAGAGGTACTTAAGCAATCGACTTTTGTACAAAGTCTCCCTCTGGTATTAAGCACAGGTTAAAATATACATTATAAAGGTGCAGAAGGTGGTCTTATTGTTAGCGCAAAGTCATTATGAGTATTAAATACGATATTTTTTTCCACAGATTCTTGTACAAGACATTAAAAAAAAACAATCTGTAATCTATAGTAACATAAATTGAGTTCCACAAATAAAAAAAAAAAAGAATTTCAGTTGTAACAAAACAAATTAATTTAACTAAACTGTTGAATTTATTTTCACAAAATTTATATGGGTCCAATCTGTAAGTATATCATTTCAGATAAAAAGAGAATTTTCCAAATCGGTTCATAACTAACGGAGTTATGAGGTGACAAACAAATAGCTTCTATTGGAAATCAGTTGAAAATGTTTCTATATTTAACCAATAACCCTCACTGGTGCCCCATGTTGTAAAAAAAAAAACCACTGGGAAAATTCCCCAAGGGGAGGCTTATGTTCAGCTGTGGACGGTTAGAGGCTGATATGATGATGATAATCTATCTATCTATCCCTACAAATTGACACATTTATAATACGAATTGGATTTTCTTGTTGAATTTTTAGTAGGCCCAATAAAAAACGATCCATACCCTGGATGGTTGGACAATTGGTTTGGTGGTACGAGCCTATTCTGGTACACTTCGATTGGCTTGCTTCGCATCTTACCGGGAAGTGCCGACGGCGTGGTCGATATCATCCCGGTGGATTACGTATGCAATCTTATGATAGTGGCGGCTGTTAAATGTCAAAGGTGAGTTGTTCGAGCCGTTGTTCTATAGAAAACTATTTTCGTGTGGCTGCTAGGATGCACCCTAAAAGCGTTTTGGTATGCTAACCATTTATACACGGTTTTTTTTACGTGACTATAAATCATATATTTTTTCTGGTGATGGCAACATTAATCACCCTCTTCGTTCCTTTTTACTATCTTTTCCATCTTTCAAATTCTCTCTTTATACATATATATATATATATATATATATATCCATATATTCTATTATTATATATTTTTTTTCTATATATTATAATATATAATAAATATTATTGGTACTTAGCGTCTCGTTTCTCTTACTTATGTATTACTCTTAGTTTTTCAATCTTTTTCCTTCTCTTAAATTATATTTTCACTCAACTTTATCATCATCACGCCTCTAATTTTAATTTACAACTCCCCAAAATAGTGTAATATTTTCAGTGTTTATTGTATATGAGGTACTTCATTCCATTTTACTTTCTAAGTTCCCTAAACAAATTTGCATGAAATATTAAGTATGAATAAGAAATTTTACATTATTATAAATGATACTTTGAAATTTTTTTCGAGAACAGTTGTGGTGTTTAATTTGAGAGTATATGAGTTAATACTTGCAATTTCACTTGCAAAATAATTGCCTTAAGTTTTATTTCAGAACATTGTTTTTGTCTTTTTTTTTATACAACTTAGAATGGCAAACAAGCTGACGGCCCACCTGATGGAAAGTGGTAACCGTCGCCTATATTCAAACTGAAACACAGCCATGCAAACACAACTGCTTCACGGTTGAAACACGAATGAGACAGAGGTACCCAAGCAATCGACTTTTGTACAAAATCTCCCTCTGGTAAAATTCTGTTTCGTGTATATATATATATATATTTGTTGCCTGAGTTTACTAAATTTAAAAAATTGAAAGTGTTCTAAATTTATTTCAGATCGAAATTATTACACGTGTATAATTCGTGTACCAGTGAATGCAATCCCGTAACTATGAATGAACTAACTAAACTGGTACTGCAGGAAAAAAACAATAATTGTAAGCTATTATTTGTAACTACACAACTGTTATATTTCAGATATTTATTTGAAGAGTGTAGTATACTAATTTATTATTGTAAATATGTATTGCTTTTTTTTATCTCTTGACGCCAATCGTTATTTGTTTTTATGCAATTAAGAATGGCACTCAAGCTGACAGCCCACCTGATGGAAAACAGTAACTGTTGCATATTGACACGTACAGATATGAAATTTGTATGAAATTTATCATTAATGTAGTATTTATGACAGTAAAGGACATACAAGTAGGTTACTTTTTAAAAAAAAAGTAGCTAGGGACGCTAGAAATGAGTAAAGAAAAAAAAATACTATTTTTGAATTGGTCTTATCTATTTGTTACGTAATTTTGAAAATACGGCTGAAACAAAGAATACTTTCTGATTTTTTTTATCCGCAACATAGCAATACTATATAATAATAATATAAAAAAAATATAACATCGGAAGGTCCACTCATGTTATCATTAATAAGTAAAGATCATTTTGATATCTAATCACACATACACGCACGCACGCACGCACGCACGCACGCATGTACGCACGTACGCATGCACGCACGCACGCAAACACGCACGCACTTAAATTGTACCTTATGCAACTGTATCTTTCTTAAATAAATATTATTCTTATTCTTACTAGATGGCGTCAGCGTCGAATTCAATAATCATGTCGTCTTTGTTTCATTGAATTTGTGTTTTGTATTTATAATTCCAGATTTCACGTATCCTAAAGTGCATTTTACTACTTCGAAAAACATGATGATGCTTTTGAGTTTTGTGCTAGAAACTATACCAGCTTATGTCGGGGATATTTGGTTATGGATAACTGGTCGAAAAATGAGGTAAGCATATATACAAGTCTTTTAAATTAACCCCCTTATATCTCATCACCTTACATTTCATCATCATCATCATATCATCCTTTAACAGACCACTGCTGAACATAAACTACCCACTTGGGAGATTGCGTTGCTACGCTTGGCAGGCAGATTAGCAAACGCAGTCAGGCGTTAGAAATCTTTCGAGGGACGCTGCTGCCCATCCCTCACCCTCCGGCTCTTACGACACTCACGGGAAAGGAAACTGTTATTCTATGCCAGTGTTTTCTGTGATATCTGTTACAAAATTAATAATATTTTATAATAAGATATCACATGGGGGGAAAGGGATTGTTAGTAATGGAGACTGAGAATCCCATTGCTAGCAATATACCCAACCAGGTCGACCTCCACACGGTTTCCCCTGGAAACTATCATGGTTAATTCCTGATGAATTCATCATGATGGGCTAATTGGCCTATTTTCATTCTCATCTATCACCCTTCACTGGTGCTCCGCCAGCGTATCCCGTTAGCGTAGGCGGGGTTACCATTCCATTATCACCCATCAAAAAATAAATAAATAAGATATCACATAAAACAATGTATCCCATAGTATCCCCCATATATTGCTATTTATAAAGCCCAAAACGTTTGTTTGTTAATTAATTTATTTCATATCCTATATCACATAAAACACTGTGATAGCCATAGTATCCCTGATACATTGTTATTTATGAGGATCAAGATGTTTGTTTGTTTGCTTCACGGTTGAAACACGAATGGGACAGAGGTACCCAAGCAATCGGCTTTTGTACAAAGTCTCCCTCTGGTAACATAAAACACTACCCACCTCATATATTGCTATTTGTAAGGCCCAAAACGTTTGTTTGTTTGTAAAAGTTTGTGTACATTGTACAGTAAAGTTTTAAATTATAAGTTATAGAGTTCTTAAGAAAAGAATGAGTACAATGGCGGACTTATCCCATAAAAAGAATTTCTTATAGTCAACTTTTGAATATCTGATACAAATTGTGAATTGGTGGAGACAAAAAAAAAGTAATTAAAAAAATAATAAAATAGAAATATAATATGTGTTAGGAAGAATTAAAAGAGAAAAAATCACCAGAGGGAGACTTTGTACGAAAGTCGTTTGCTTGGACATCTCTGTCTCATTCGTGTTTCAACCATGAAGCAGTTGTGTTTACATGGCTGTGTTTCGGTTTGAGGGATGGGATATGGCAGTGAATTTAAAGGGTACAGAAAAATAACACCTTAGTCCTCAGGAATAGCAACGTACGGGTGAAACAGTATACTCTGTTATGTCCATGGTACTGCTCATGTCTATAGGCGACGGTTACCACTTTCCATCAGGGGGGCTGTCAGCTTGTTTGCCATTCTAAGTTGTATAATAAAAACTATTTTACCTTATTCTTAATAGATTAGTTAAACTACATTCCATTATGAACAATCACCGGGAAAAGTTGGAATACTTCACGTCGAATTACTGGCAGGCACGATGCAATAATACGAAATCCCTCATCGTTTCGTTATCGGACGTCGACAGAAAAACGTTCTGCTGCGACTCCACGGATATAAACTGGAAAGAGTACATTCAAACCTATCTTGTAGGAATACGCAAGTATTTGTTGAGATCTAATGATTGATAATTAAATTATATTATATTATATATAATGTTTTCTTTATTATAAATAACTAAGATCCTTTTTTGTTAATAACAATTGACTTAAACTATGTTAGTAGAAAAAAAAATACAAAACAAAAATAAATATGGCCCCCATAATAATTTTGACCCACAATGAGAGAATTGGGCTATTGTATTTATTACATAATGCTCACAGAATGCTGTTACTGCTACCAATATGACGATTTTCTGTTTTTTTTTTTTAATCCCTCGTCATTTTATTACCGGACGCTTGAGATTGAGAAACGTTACGTTGTGAGTTTACGAATATGTATTTATTTATAGGATCATCAGTATAGAATACAGCGAAGCATTTCAATACAATGCACAATACGCTAGTGCAGAGGTCGGCGACCTTTCGAGTTAGAAATGTGAAAATTTACAAATTACAAAATTTTAAAGTTGTTAATGAGTCACAAAATTTTTTCTTGCCAACAATAAATAGTACTCGCATAAATAAAATTTGGTACCTAATCCTCGTTAACCGATTCTGAACGATTTTTATTAATTTTCTCTTTATAAAATAAACAATTATTGCACATTGGTTAAAATTGACGTCGGTTTTTGTAGGACACAATCTCTAATTATTTAAGTCGCTTAAAAAGAATATAGATGTTAGAAGTAAGTAGCAGTTATATAAAATTGTAGTTAACCACACAGTTATAATATAAGGGATTACTTTGACTATAGCTAGTTAATTTCAACGTACTTTAATCAAATCGCCGAGCGTTAAAAGAGTACCTACCATGAAAATTTATTTCGAATCCGAACGAAACACGTTGTTCTTTATATTGAAACTTGAATAAAAAGCAAATTGGTAAGCTATTTGAATAAAATATGGTAATCGTCTATAAACATGAATGAAATTATGGATATTGCCAGATAAATATACTGTAACAGCTATGATGTAATACGTCATGTATATGACGTCTAATATTACTATCGGACACAGTGTGATTTGGTAATTTAAATACAGAAATAAATGAGAATGAAAAATTCTTTTGTGATGGTCTGTATAGATCTGGGACATTTTGTTTGTGAACAAAATGATTTTTCTTTTTCTATATTTATTATTTATTTTATCTATACGTTGTTTGTCTAAATTTTTAAGTCTATTGAGAGCCAAAACTACATTTTAGTTCGATTAAAATAAAATCCATAAAATGGTGTGCTATACCGTACACGCGTTGAGTGAATATAGAAGAATTACAAATATTGTTCGCGGACTAGATGTTCTTTGTTAGCTCATGTCTTAGCGGGATCTCGATATCGGTATCAATATATTTCATTTTACGCATATTTCGTTCCATACAGTCAGAATTACATTTCGTGGTAGACCCCCAATTTGTGTTACTCGACGTTCATTCTCGCGAGCGTTCGTATGTAAGCGAGTTAAGTTGTATGAAGAGTATTTTAAGTATATATATATATATTGTATATATATATATATATATATATATATATATATTATATGTAAATAAAAATATATATATTATTATATATTATCGGTACTATATATATATATATATATATATATATATATATATATATATATATATATATATATATATATATATATATATATATATATGTACAAATACATATATATATATATATATCATATACATATATATATATATATATATATATATATATATATATATATATATATATATATATATATATATATATATATATATATATATATATATATATATACATATATATATATATATATATATATATATATATATATATATATATATATATATATATGCTGTTGTAGTTGAGAATTTATCCTTTTTTGAATATTGTGCAATAAGATAAAAATAAGAATGGGTTTCGGTTTGAAAGATGAGATATGGCAGTGAATTTACAGGGTACAGAGGAATAACACCGAGAGGAATGGCAACGCATGGGGGGTATCATGGGTGAAACAGTATGTTATGTCCATGGTACTGCTCATGTCTATATGTGATGGTTACCACTTTCCATCAGGTGGGCCTTCAATTTGTTTGCCATTCTAAGTAGCATAAAAAAAGAGGATTGCAGCCAATGAATGTCAGCCAGTATCTGTAAATGAGAAATACATAAGAAAAATTGATGTGAGATATTTTAATAAGAACAATAGAAGACAAAAAAAAATTTTGTGAAAATTTTGTTTTAAAAATAGTCGGTAATATGAATTGAGAAATAATCAGTAACCTGTGAAATCATTATTCCTACTATAAAACATTTTTTTATTGAACGATAATGAAACCTCTGTCAAAGTCTGTTACGTAGTTTATAAGAAGTAACTTACTACGTGTAGTGATTTATTCGTACCTAGGTTATCTCGACATTTTGACTAGGCTCAACATTAACCAGCCTTTAACTGTCCTTCTCCTTGAGAGGTTTTGCTCAAAGTTGCTACTCTTGGCAAGTGGATTGGCAACCGCAGTTAGACTTTGGAGATGTTTTAAGTGTGCATTGATGTGCATGGTATTGCTCATGCCTATAGGCGACGGATCAGGTGGGCCATCAGCTTGTTCGCCATATAATTGTCATATGATTTCTCATAAAGTACCAGGAGAATAGAACTATGTAGAAGGTGTTAACTATTATTATATAGAGCTCGTGATTTTCTGCAGAGTGTAGTGTGTATCATTTGTTTGGTTGTTTTAATGTCCATATGGTTTCTTATAAAGTACTAGGACAGTAGAACCATACCAGAGGGAGACTTTGTACAAAAGTCGATTGCTTGATTGTCCCATTCGTGTTTCAACCGTGAAGCAGCTGTGTTTGCATGGTTGTGTTTCGGTTTGGAGGGTGAGATATGGCGTGAATTTACTGGGTACAGAGGAATAACACCTGAGATCATAAAAAAAACTCACCTTTACAGTTAATAATATAACTAAATATAGGTAAGCAATTAATATGACAATTATTAGAACTACATATTCAGAAGCTGAACACCGATAATAACTCGTTAGAGCACGGTACTAAGTACTTCAAACTAATCCGTCAAATGCAGCTGTAAACCGCCCCATTAAAGCGTAGTTAGCGAATACGGTTTGATGAAGTACGTCGTAATAGTTTGGATGTAGGTGTGCTAATAAAATGAACTTTAGCGCATAAAATATACATCAGTCAAATACTGTTAAGAACTGAATGTAAATGAACGTGATTAGTCTGGAAGAGAAAAAAAAGCCTTCATTCTGGGCTTAATATATGTATTATACAAAATTTGCTTCGTAATTAAAATTAATTTAATTTTTAACGTGAATTTACAGGGTACAGAGGAATAACATCTGAGTCCCTCTTCTACCAGAGGGAGACTTTGTATAAAAGTCGATTGCTTGGGTATCTCTGTCCCATTCGTGTTTATACCGTGAAGCAGTTTTGTTTGCATGGCTGTGTTTCGGTTTGAAGAGTGGGATATGGCGTGAATTTACAGGGTACACAGGAATAACACCGAGAGGAATGGCAACGTATGGGGAGTATCATGGGTGAAACAGTATACTCTGTTATGTCCATGGTACTGCTCGTGTCTATGTGACGGTTACCACTTTCTATTAGCACTTTCTACTTTCTATTATTTAAACAAAATGTGCTTATTTTGAAAAGAACGTGAATAGTTGGATAAACGTCGGAGTACCGATTTATCTACGATCACTTCCCGTTTAGTTTCAGATATATAGCCGCTAGAGTTTGCTGTGTCACGACTTTCCTTTGATCATGTAAGTGTTGTTCCGCTTTCAATATGATTATCTTTATATAACTATACGCTATATCAGTGGTTCTCAAACTGTGTTCCGCAATAAATAAAATATGGTCCGCAAAATATATCCAACTTTGATGCGAGTTCAAAAATGTAATTGATACAAACTGAAATATCTAGTGAAAATTGTGTATTTCCAATTATAATACCATTATTTACTATCACTTTTGAATTTTCTTAACTGTTTCGATTAAAGTTTCTTCTTAGTTTCTGCAATTTGTTTTTTAACTGACTTCAAAAATAAGGAAAACACGTATATAGGTACTGTTTACCTGCAAATTTTTTCATAGCGTTAAGTCCCGATAGTGCATTTAAAATTCCTTGTTTATTTGAAAGTGTGTACTTACAAATCCTCAGGAATGCATATGACATCATAACCTTCAAGAAAAAGCATATTCCTTTTTAAAAGGCCGGCAGCACACCTGCAATGCCGTTGCTGTTGTAGGTGATCATGGCCGGCGGTAGTCACTTACCATCAGGTGAGCCGCATGCTCGTTTGCCCCCTGTGTTGTAAAAAAATGGAAACACATAAGGATACCTTCCATATGGTAGGATTTTACTTTTATATTTACAGGTAATTTCAGGTACAGAGGCATAACATCTTAGTCCTCAGAAATAGCAACGCATGAAGGGTATCATGTGTGACACAATATACTCTGTTATGTCCATGGTACTGTACATGTCTATAGGCGACGGTTACAACTTTCCATCAGATGCGCCATCAGCTTGTTTACCATTCTAAGTTGCATAAAATAACTTACAAATCAGATCCATTGATATTTTATCAAAAAGGTTGAATAGTTTAGTTTTTAAATCAAAATAACGGATTTTGTTAAAATTGAAGTCAGTTTTTTTTGTGCAATACAATCTTAAATAATTAATCTTGCGGCGAAAAAATTTGAGAACCACTGGTATATTGGCATTCTAAGTTGTATAAAAAAATATATAAAACCTCCTGATGACACAAACATATAAAAGGATTGTTTCCTAAAGCTTTTGAAAACAAATCCTTTCTCTTTTATCTGGTCGTTTCAGCGGCATATGGTATACGAAATATCACGAAACGCGTTGGTAAGCCTAAAAAACAAATACTTATTAAATATATTATGTAGCAACCAAGATAAAATGTGACACAAGCATTATTAATACAAAACATTGATGCTGATATGGAAATGTACAATGACCTTCCCTTTCCGTTAAGGTGGTGTATGTTTTGGAAACACTCGT